GGCCTCCGGCGGCGGGAGGCGGGACGGCCTCGCCCAGCGCCCAGTCGGGGCCGCCATCCCGCACCCGGACTCTCGGCCCGGGAGGAGCCTCACTCTACCTGCAAACTCCGAGGCGCTGGCGCGTGCGTGTGTGTGTGCGTGTTGGCGAGCGAGCGGGCAGGGTGCGTCCGGGCGGCTACATGCCCCGGCGGCAGGGTGGTGCGTCTCGGGGAGCGGCGGCCCAGACCTCTGGGGACGCGAGCGCAGGACGCGGGAGCGCGGGCGCAGGGGACTGGGCGCAGGGACTGGGCGCGCGGAGCCTCGGTGGCTGCGGCGCTTGGAGCCGCCGCGTCCCGGCTCCTCCGCTGCGCTCTGGCAGCCTCCGGGTTGGACACGTGGGTTTTACGACAGCACAAAATACAAGTGTGTGTGCGTGCGCGCGTGTGTGGTGTGGAGGGGACGGAGGGGGTGGGAGGAGGCGGGAGCAGGCCGCGAGCGTCGGGAGGGGAGAGGAAGAAGGAAGTTCTGGCTCGGCCGTGGCTCGTAGCCCGCGCCCCTCGCGCTCAAATGCTTGCTCGGCCCTCCCGCCCCCCTCGGCTTTGGCACGCCTTCTCCTGCCCGTCTGTTGTGTCTCTGTCTCTGCTAGGTCTTTTCTAGGAGCCGGTTGAGTGCCTGGATCCTGAAAGCTGTAGAACTGCAGAAGCCAGAATGCATCTCTGCATGCGCTCGAGTGCTCGCGCCGGGGCGAGCGCGCCCTGCAGGGCGAGGAGATCCGGTTCCCTGACCAAGTCCGCGCTTTCTCCCGCCTGCGTTTTTCCTGGAGAGCTCCTGGGGGCCAGCGTCACCTCGCCGGCGGAGCAACCTCCGCTGGGAGAAAAGTTGCGGGGATCGAGCGCCAGAGCGAAGCCCTCGATCGGCCGTTGAACAGGGAGGCTCGGCGGAGCTGGAGCTGGAGCGGGATCTCTGCAGAGCACTCGTCCCGGCCGGGCTGCATCCTGGCTGGGACCGGGAGGCTGTTGGCGGCGTCTGCACACCCCAGCGCTCGGCCAGGCCGCCCTCTCAGGCCACCTTCGTAGGGGGCTCCCCCTCTCCTGTGGGCACCAGAATCGGGTACTCAGAGGTACGTCTGGTGCCGCAACTGCTTCTGGACATGGGAGAGGCCGCTTGCCTTCTGCGGCCCGGGCTGGCCCTCGACGAACATAGATTTCTCTCCCCTGAAATGGTATGAGGGTATAGGGTGACGTGCAGCCCGCCCTCCCCCGCCTCCGGTGCCTTCACAGAAGTTTGGGCCACAGCCTCTCTTCGGTGTGCGTTCTGGCATCCACACATCTAGGCTCCTGTCCCCAGCTCATCCACGAATCAGGCGCCTCGCATTCGTGGTACTCGGTGGTAAAGACACCACCAGCTGGGTGAAGTTGACTGACTTGGGCACGTCCCCCTCGCCAGAACTCTGTCCACACCTCACAGAGAAGAAAAGGCATTTCTCTTTTTCCTAGCAACCTAGTTAATTTAGCACTCGCCCCTAAAAATGTAATAGCCATTCTTTCCTGATTTCTGCTTCTTTTTCTCTTCCCACCGCTCATTTTATCTGAGCATGGGAAACTGGGTGTGTAGACTTTGTCCGGGTCTCACGCATCACGACTCAGTGTTGGCTGGAACAAAGCTGGACCGAAAATGTTCTCACTGGCGTCGTTATGACAGGTCATCCGTCATCCCTGGGTAGATTGATAGCATCCAGGTCTTAGGCAAATAGGAGAGGAAACCGAGGGCTCTATAGACCCCAAAGCTAACCTAGCAGTCTTCGAAGACTTTGGACAACTCCATGAGGAAGGGAGGGCGAGGTTCCAGGCCCCTTTCCGTCACTGCCTGCAGAACTGCCTTGGCGCAAACTCTTTTCGCACCTTCTCGAGTTCATTGCTGAGAAATCTGGGCGTTTCTCCGCACTGGGAGAGGCAGGGTGCACCGAGGATGAAGCCTGGACGCCGAGGCATTGATGTCCGCAGCGGCCAGGTTGCTGCCTTTTTGTTTCTGCCCCAAACTGGATTGCTGTTTCCCCGCACCCGGTCTCTAGGGCTTGAAGTCCCCAAGAACCTGCGAAGCCCTCTCCCACTGGCAAGTCTTGGGGGGTTGACATGCTAGTTGCAGCAACTGCTTCGGAGGCCTCATGCTGCCCACGCTGTGGGAGTGTGTGTGTGTGTCATAGCACTATTAGCTGACTGGTTAATCAGCGCCGTAGACGTGCCAGGTGCGGGGTGGCACTTTGTGTACTTTTAAGCTCACCAAGCGCCCATGCGGGAAGGCATTGTCATTAATCCCCCGTGTTACTGAAGAGGACCCGGAGGCACAGAAAGGCTAGGCAGGTTGCCTGAGATCACAAACGACTGAGGAGGCTGACTCAGACTGTGGGCAGTGGAGTTACCCAGTGCACTGTCGTTCCCATCCTAGACGAACCCCACCCTCATTCCATCCAGACTGGTGACAGAGATGACAAGGGATACCTTCAGGACTTATGGCTTGCTTGGGGCCAGGGAAGAGGTAAGGAAGGCCCCCTCTTGCTCTGTGCTGTAAGTGGGAAGTCTGACCTGTTAGACTCGACCAGCAGCCCCAAGCACACCTAGCGGGAGAGGAGAGCGGACCCGAGGTCCCTGAGAGTGTGGGGACTGGCATGAAGGGGTAGGCAGAATTAGAGGGTGCTCAGGAAGCCTGCGAAGGGAGGGAAAGTCGGGAGCAGCACACAGGAGCCTCCCCAGCAGGTCTGCGACTTAGGTCGGCAAAGGTCAGCGCGGTCCTCACACCTTGGGCGCAGACTGAGCGCGGTGGCAGGGCGGCTTCTGGCCGTGTGGTCCAACTCCAGAGGTCGGTTCGCCTCGACCGTCACCGTCACCAACAGCTTTGCCTGCCTGGTGGGCGGCTAGAAGTGAACTCCGCACTGCAAGGGTGAGGTCCACCCCCAAACCCGCGCTCTCCTCTGCAGCGCTTACTACGCCGCGGAAACAAATCACTTCGACCACTTAGGACGCGATCAAACCTTTATAAAAATCCATTGCTCCCAAATCGATGGGTGAATATTTGCTGGGAATTTGTTCCAGAGGAATAAATAAGGAGCATGAGTGTATTAAATGCAAACGGGGACGCGGTGGTGTTTTTCTTCATTGATTAATGACCTCTAAAATGAAACAAGTGGGAAGAGGAGTCGGGGTCGATAAATTAGCTACCCAAATTCATCATTTCCTCGCGCATCCCCCCCGCGAAAATTATCCTTAAGAAGCCCATTGCACCCTTAGCAGGGGGAGAGGAACAGGACGAGAGGGCAGAGCAGGAAACGGCAGGAAAGCAAGAAGGAGATCTGTCGGGAGAGCCTTTGTCCAATTTCGTTGACACGCAATTAAGAAGTTCGCTTTCATATTCATCCCTTTCCTGGCGGGGGAGGGGTACAAGTGGTCACGCGTTGACAGGACTCCAATAAAGGCTCCATAGCTCTTCTCTGCCCGGGTGCTCCGGTCTGCAGGTTTAAGGTCACGGGTGGCTGAGTTAATAATTCATTAATGTAGACATTTATTCAGAAGGGTTCTCTGAGATCCACTCTCCCTGCCTCCTCCCAGAGATTTATTTTCCTGAGAAATGGATTGGGAGGGTGTTGGGTTGCAGGTGAAAAGGAGGGGGCGGAGGAGAGGGAGAAGAGAGGGTGGCGACAGCGGGAGGGATGTTTACTTAGCCACTCTGGGGGACAGTCCCTTCAGCCTGCCGTCAAAAACTTGGTGGAAGATGTGGCGTGCAAACACCACAGGGATTCTGGTTTTCGGTGGTCCTTTCTCCTGCTTCTACAGATGTTCATTTTCTGTTCAGAAGGCACCTTTCCCACATGATTTAGAGCTTGCCAAGAGCATCTGAGGACCTTGAAACGGAGACCTGGGGGAAGTCAGGGGTGGCTAACCCTACCCCATGCGGGTCCCAAAGGAACAGTGTGCAAACTTGCTCAGACCTGGAATCTAAAGGGATTTCCTTTTCTTAAACATGGGCGATTTCTGGTGGACACTTTAGTCCTCAGATGGGGCTGTGGGGTCATTACAAAACAAAGCAGCCCGGAAAGTCCAGATCCTGAAGTTTACCTCTTGGAAGGATACTGAAATGGAAGAGTAGGGGAGTCATCATCAGACAGTGATAAGTGCTATTGAAAGCAAAGAGAGTATGGATGGGGAGGGTGAGACTGCGGCACATCCGCTGCTCAGAGAAGGCCTTTCCTAGAAGGTGAAATCTGAATAGACTTTAAGCAAGAGGATGCCAGATTTGCACCCAGAGTGTGGTATTAGATCCCCTAGCCTGTGGCCCCAGAGCCAAAGCAGTACAAGGGCCTCCCCTGAAAAGCCTTCGAGGCCCACTCTGCAAGTGTTCTGCCTCTTCTGCTGGCCACGCTTGCTTCCCTTAGGATGCTGTGAGCTATTTAATACCCTTTCAACAATCACATCCATTGGCATTACCTCTGTTACTGGTGACCAAGAGTCTGACACTGTGACCCACCTCAAACTGTCCATTCTGAATTTCTTCAAAGGTCAAATGCAAGGTAGGACAAGCGTGGTTTTCTATCCTAAGCTTTGTGGTTGGCAGCTACCAAATCCGGACCTCAGTCTCTGCTGCGCTCTGTACTCCACCTCCGTCCAGGGTGCTGTGAATCGGAGATGTGTGGGGGTGAACTGTACTGAAAACAAGAAAACCCCGTCATTTATTTCAATCCCTGCAGTCCGCCTATCGATCCCTTTGCGCCCTCTCTTCTTTGTCCTTGCTCAGTGGTAGAGAACAGTGCCAGCCGGGGGAAGAGGGATTGCAGAGTGAAGTGGGTGGGGTGAGAGCACTTTCAGTGTAGCTTGAGGAAGCACCTCTTTCCTCCGATGGTGGCAGGAGTCTGCCACTCAGCTGACGTGCCCTCCTGGGGCCCCTGTTAGCTCTCCTCCTGTCACTCAGGGCTGGGAAGGCGGGCTCCTCACTTCGCTAGGTCAGAGATGGCCTTGGGAGCAAGACCCAGCTCAGACTATTTCTGAACTCTCTCGTCCTCTGCCGGGCTGAGGCAGACAGCACCTGTTCACTTCACTTGAAATGCAGCAGAACACTCCAGTTCTTTTCACCTAGGTCACCCAGCAGCTGTCACTCACACAGTGCCTCTCAGCTACCCTGGGCCTGATTTGGATTTGACCTGCTGACCCGGAGGTGAAAGGCTCCACAGTCCATCACCAGTCCCTGCAGCCAGTCCATTCTCCCAGGAAAGCCTCTAAATATATCCTTCCAGTTTCCAGGGAAATCAGCCATTATACTTTGCAAAGGTCTTCTGAGTTTAAAACATATCTGTGGCAGTTCAGTCCCATAAAGGTTTAATGAATCACCATTGAGAAAGCAAAACAGCTGCTCTTTTTTTAAAAAAAAGTCTTGATAAGACAAGGAAGAGTGAAGTAATTAAACAAGAACTATCTCTTCAGATACTTAAGGATTCCCTCCACTATCTTCTTCCCATCCACCTTTCACCCAGAAATCCAGTCCTCCATTTTTCCAAGAGTTTGTAAGAACAGACAGAGCTAACCAACGTTATCATAAATTGACAGCAATACCTAATATCTAATGAGCACCTAGGGAGTGGGAGAGCCTGCTGACAGGAATCTTTGGGATTAATATCTCCTTTGAAGTTCTCCTAGCTGAAGCTGCCTGGTTGTAAGACAGTCTTCCTTCAGTTGTTGCCTAAATTAGTTGAAGCCTATAGGCCTTAAGTTATAATCAGGATGAGGTAAATGCATTACACTGCATCTGTTTGAAATTAGGAATATATGCAATGTTGATTCACATCCTGAGTGTTGGCAGTTCCTGGGGTATGGTGGGTTCCCCTGTGCACCTGGCAACAATCTCAGGAGCCAGGACAGCTTCCAGTTACCCTGTAAATGAGAGGGCCTGAGGCTTTCCCCAAGGGCAGACTGAGGAAACAAGACCCTGACTCTCAGAACTCCTATAGACCATATAGGCACCCTGGGGTGCTTCTCTGCTCTCCGTCACTCCCTCGCCTGGCTGGACTAGTGTCCTTACCCTTCCCTGGGCTAGAACAATAGTATGACTTATTTTAAAGGGCTATTTCTGGTAGTTTATGTTCTCTGAGTCCAAATTTCTCAGTAAAGAAAAAAGAGCCTAATCTCAGTTTCCTTTTCAGAATTGGAAAACTTGTCTTTAGACTTAAAGATACTATGCAGGTTGCTGTGCAGAAAACTGAGAGTGTACATTTTGGGACCCCTGACCCCCATGATCTCATACTGTGGAAGTGTCTTAGAGACCCAGCTTTCCCTCCAGCTCCCAGGCTCTGAGGCCTGTAAGTGGCATAAGAGTTCAGAAAACACAGCCATCACTTTAGTCTAGGAGACAGTCAAGCAAATCTTCACAAATGAGGTGATTCTCAAAGATTGTCTACATTCAGGTGGGTAGAGAGGAACTAAAAAGGGGGATTCCTGAGCAAAGACACACAGACAGGACCTGCACAGCTACATATGCTGGGAGCCCCAGGCAACTTCTCCTCTGTTTGTGAAAACAAGTAGCTCACTGGCAACTCCTAAGAGTAAGCCATCTTCTTTGTATATCATAGTTCCTACAAACTAACTGTATATGATTCCTCTCCTTTAAGAAGGAAAAAAAGGAAATTATAGAAAAGCAATTTAAGATTCTTGAGATGTAAAGAAAAAAAATCACTTTTACGTTGATCACTTTCACACATTACATTGACTGACAGATTCTTAAGGAGAACTTGAAAAGGTGATACGTAAATACAATATATTCTAATCATTTTGGAAGATGGTACCAGGAATTGAACCCTGGTACTCTGGGAACCCTGGGAACACTCAGCTACACCCCTGCCATTTTTATTTTTTAAATTCTGAAGCAGGGTTTTACTAATTTGCCCAGGCTGGCCTTGCACATAAAATCCTCCTGCATCAGCCTGCTGAGAGGCTGGGATTATAGATATATGCCAGCACTCTCTGGACATTTTTGTAATTAAGTAACTGACAAGTGACATAGGAGCATTGTTTGAAAAATTAACATCTTGAAAATTCAGTGGTTAACAATTTGGTTTTTTAACATGTTGCTCAGTTTGACAGTGTTTTGAGCATTTCCTTTTGTCTGTCTACATTGGCAAGCATTTTCAATTGGAACATATGTTTGGGTGGACAAGGATTTTATTTGGCAGCAACCTAATAGTTTAAATATAGATTGCAAAATCAAATGTTTGTTCCATAAGCAAATGTTTTCAAACAGAAGCATTTCTCACAGTTGTTTCCTCAAAGCAAATGTTTGTCTTGGGGCCACCAGAGAAAGCCACACATTCCCCTGAACTTCCTCCACAGAACTGTCACTACTGTTCTGTCACCTTCAGGATCTTCTGCTGGTCACATTTCCTTACAGATTTCCATGGGTTTCTTTATGTAGAGAGCTAGTCCCAAAACGTGCTTTTTAAAAATGAGTGCAAACATTTTCAAAATGTTTTTTTCTTTGTAAAAGTGGATTGGAAATATGTGCATGTGTAGCAGTAATGCATCTTATTTGTGTAAACAACCACCTTATTTTTGATAAGATCATTTGCATTGTTTATCTTTTCATTTCCAGAGAGAGTTATCAAGAAGGATGCTAGGAGCCCATCCACTCCTCTCAATAAAAAGGAGAAAAGATCAAAGTGGCAACTGTGTGTACATGTGTTTGTATGAAGATGGAGAATCACTGTGGTTTTCCAAGAAGTATGTTTAGCATCAGGGCTGAACAAGTGTAGCTGCTATATTAGTGAAGACTCTTTCAAATGCAGGTGAAAGAAATTAAACTGGTCTCAATTTTTTTAAAAACAGGATTTGATGGTTGTGGTTTCAGGTATGGATGGATTCAGGAGTTCAACATTGCTCTGAAGCCTCAGTCTTTCTTTTCATGTGTTGGTGTCTTAATTACTTCTATCATTGATGAGACAAAATACCCAGTACCCAAAGTTAAAGGAGGACAAGA